AAAAGAAAGAAAAATAATGCTCAGACAGAGAGAATAATAGAATTCTAGAGGGAAACAGAATTTCTTGTATATTCGCTGCCTTTCCAATCATTTGTATACCTCTATATAACAGCATACATGCTACGCGAAAAAGTAAAAATGACAAAAGGAATAAAGTTAGTTATGATCCTAAATCCTTCTAGAACCATAACACTGCCAAATCATCAATTAGTCACGTAGTCGTTGAGGTGTGTGGGTTTCCTTCGGATTCTTTTGGGTAATTCTCCTCGGTCCACGTTTTCTTGATCCTGTGTTGGGCCTTGAGGCTCTTCATCAGTAATGGGCCTAACAGTTTACTAGATAATCGAGCCTTGCATAAAAGTATTATATATGTACCAGAGTAATACTACTGAAGGTTTTCTTTAAGCATTTTCTTAAAATAATTTTCTTTTTAGCTTGTGAAGAACTTCAATTCTGACACTGACGCTTAAACAAATTTGGCTATCAACCTTGCAGGTGAGATCTTGAAAATCTTTAGTCTTTTATATTCATTGATCTCTTGTTAAATGCATGTATTAAATTATTTTAAGCTTTCGCTGTTTATACAGATGGCCAATTACATTAAGAGTGTATATAATATTGACCGATGGCTGCTGCTGGGTGGAATTTGTTGCTGGAAAACGTCTGCAGTTTGAAGGAAGTGTCTCAGCAGTTATACAACTTATGGGCTCAGCGTTTTGAATTTCCATAAATTTTTGGCCACAATGGAAGATTCCCATTACGACTTATCGACACTGCAATCATATCAAGTTGAGATCGTTATTTTCACTTTTGAGCATACGGAAGATCAGAATATCTTGCAGTCTAAAGAAAACACGATTCTTGTTCAATAACACTAATATTATTACTTAGTTGAAAATGTTGTTTCATTATTAATTTTGTATCTATTCAGGCTCGATTTACGTGCACGGTAGTGTTTCAATTATTGTAAGAATATTCTGTAAACTAATGCTTTCAACTCCTGCTAACCAGTGAAGTTGATATTCGGAGTATTATGTATTGATGTGGATCAGTTTAGATAGACACCATTCCCTGCCTGTCATGGTGAATGATGCTCTTGAATGGCTTCGTCATTTAAAGGGGATTGTCATACTTGTATGCACGAACTTAGATTTTGTTGTGTATGATCGCATAGTAGCGGTGAGATAAATGCTTTAAAAAATGTTACTTTCCGCCATAATTTATTATTTCATACAAACAGGGAGTGAAATCCTTATTAATGTGAAGTAAGATCATGATCAGCTATATATGAGCCTTGTAAGATGCAGCTATACATTAGCTTTTTTTAGAAATTAAAATTGTGAATAACGATCTAGAATGACAGGTAGGTATCATTTGCTAGAGAAATAATCTAGTTGTTTGTAATAGCAGCCCAGTAGGCCCATTATTTGGAGAGTGTATGACATAAGGAATAGGAGGGTGAGAGAATGATGAGCTGACACGAGCGTGTGTTGTGCACGAGATTTTCTTATATTAGGGATGGTGAAGAGAGAGAGGGTATCGTTGGTTACTGGAAGTTTGTTATGGGCAGGAGGGAGCAATACTCTTTTGGAGCTACGCTCTGTGGACAAAATCTGATTTCTGTATTTTTCTTTCGTTTGCCATTCAATAATATTGGGATTTATTCCTTCCTGTGTGAATTGTTATTTCAACTATAAATATTCTTTCGATTTCCAACATTTTGGTCTGACTTGCCGGATTCTTAGGGGTGAATGCCACCTAAATCGAAGAACCAAATAGAAGCAAAAGTGAATGTGTTGGAGGGAGATGTGGCCAGCCTTAGCTGACGCTTGAAGCGATTCAAGCACAACATGCGGTTGATCATGTAAAAGCTAGATGCCTTGAATGAATAACGAAGAAAAAAAACACGATTCTCTATCGTTACAGAGGCCCGTGGCGAAGGGGGTGTTTTTGAGCAACTCTCTGAAATTAAACAGGAAGGGTGTGTGGATGAATATACTCAACGATTTGAATGTCTTACTATAGAGGTAAAACGTATTCCTGATGAGCAATATTTTGAGTATTTCTTGTATGGACTGAAAGAGAAGATTGGGGCACATGTTTGTAGCCTTCGTTCGATGGTTCCTCTATGGCAGGCAAAGTTGTTGAACCTAGCTCGTGTTATTGAAAGAGAAATTGCTAGATCCGGTTCCTTTAGTGGATTTGAGGCCCAGTGGAAATAGAAGGAATGGGGATTCGGGCTGGATTCATGTGGGTCGTGGAAAGGATCAGTTCAATGAGAAGGGCTGAATAAAGGACGTTTTGGGTTTAAGTCCAAGGAGGATAAGACAAATGAGCCTAATAAAAAGAATTTAAGTACGATGGACCGAGGAATTAAACACATATCCCTGCCGAAATTAAATGAACGCAAGAAGAAAGGATTATGCTACAAATGTGGGGGTAAATATCATCCTCTTCACTAGTGTCTTGACAAACAATTGAAGGTCATGTTGTTGGAAGACAATGAAGCTGCGGATGACAATGGAGATTTTTAAAAGGTTGAATTAAGTGACCTAAGAGATTGGATGGTGCGTGTAGTATGTTGCTGTTGGGGAATTTGATTTACAATCATCATGATAGTCTTCAACAAGATAGCCTTCAAACCATGAAACTAAGAGGGAGTTTTAAAGAGATCCCAGCCCTTATATTGGTTGAAAGTGGTGCAACTCGTAATTTTGTTTCTAAGAGATTGATTTATAAGGTGGGATGGAGGTTAAGGAGACAAATGAAATGAAGATTAAGTTAGGGGATAGGCATAAAGCGACAGCAAACAGGGTATGCAAATCCCTAGATCTGAAATTAGAAGAAGCTGATTTTTCCATCGATGCCTTTTTATTTGATGTTGAAGATATTGATTTGATATTGGGGATGCCATGATTATCCACATATGGAATTACAATTGTTGATTGAAAAAACCATGAGATGGATATTTGTTTGCATGGAACCGTGGTTACAATTAAGAACAATGACAACAAATAAACTCGAAATGTATCTTTTTTCGATGTAATAACTCAATCTTGGAAGGTGGTAGAAGATTTCTATTTTGCAACAGAGGTTCGTCCTCGAGCTCATGTAGACAAAGACAACAAATATTTTAAACCCATCATAATGTCAGGAGTTAAAAAGTAGATTTGGAAAGTGATTAATGATCCTCGGGGTTACTTGGTAAGACAAAATTGTTTAGAAAATAAATCATCTATAAACAATTGAGGTTTTGAAATTTAACAAAAAAATATTCAACAAAATATTACTTATAAGAAACAAAGTCTTAGATAAAAGAGCGTTTAAAAGAACAGAAAACATAAACATATTTCTAAGTGATCATAAAAAAGAATACCTAAACTATACGTTAACAAACATGTACTCAATAGGATCATATGGAAATCTACTTAATCAAGATCAAAAGTGTCTAGGCATTGATCTACAAAAAGAACAAAGTAGTTACAGCGTTTTCCGTAAAAATCTATATCGTTTGAAATGATGTTTAAAGAGAGTGTCTGATTAATTAGGAAAATCCTACATGAGCTTAATATGACATTGTGCTTATAATATCTATTCATGAAGTATTGAAATGGAGAAGTGTCTGAATGAACCTTGTAAATATAAGTTGAAAGATCTCTTACAAAGAAGAAACGTGTTTTACAGTAGGCATAGCCTAATAAATATTAGTTTTGAACAATAGGACATGGTCCCAAACTTGTTACAAATGAAAAATGTCCAATCAAAGATATCATTTAAAAAAGATGTGCAAAACATTATGACAAGTTCTCAAGCTCTGAAATTAAAATATTTATTCTTAAGAAGAGATAAAATGTTAAAACCTGATACTCTATATTCAATTTGTTAAAAAATGGACTTTAAGCCTAACTCAATCTCACAAAATCGGCTTGTAAGATGAGGTTTACACCCACTTATATATTATAAATTGGTCTTATATCTAGTCGATGTGGACTTCCAACACCCCCCTCACGCCGAGGTATAAACATCATCTCGAGTGTGAGACTAGACATTAATGGGTGGGGGTGGTCTGATAATGGCCCGATGGCGGGTGAAACATCATGTCCAACAAACAACAAATATCGCTAGGATAGACTGTAATCATAGCTCTGATACCATGTTAAGAAGTGGAATTATGATGACATTAAATGCCAAAGACAGAGTAGGAAGAGACTCAAACAACCTGCTCTGATACCAACTTGAGAAGTGGACTTTAAGACTAACTCAACCCCACAAAATCGGCTTGTAAGATGAGGTTTGCACCTACTTATATATTATAAATTGACCTTATCTCTAGTCGATGTGGGACTTCCAACACAATCAGTGTCATAAAAGAAAGTGTTTTATAAAGAAACATCATCAAAAGCGTGCTAAAAACTATATCTCAAGATTGCTTTTCATTTACAAGCGTCTAACGCTTAACACAGTTTGTCAATATTTTAAAGTTGTACTTAAACATCAAGACTTATTGTTGACAAGCCAAATGATAAAGTGTTTTGAACAAGAAATGATAAATAACGTCTATAGACGTTCAAAACATTGAATGTTCATTAGTGCATGGACTGTAAAGTAATGGTTTGCGTGTATACTTTGTCCTTGTTATTTGTGTACAACTGGATTACACAAAGGATTAATCAAAACACTTGCACACATTAGATAAATACATTGAGAGAAATAAAAGAACCTTTTGAGAATGTTTCCCTTGAAAACTTATACTTTGACAAGTCGTACAAGCTATTCTTCAAATATATTAAAGCATTATACATCTGCAGAAAAGACCTAAGTCAAATCAAGCTACCAAAGCATGCTATGAAGCCTATATGAAATCAACTTTGTTCAACGGTCATCCCTCAAGAAAGGTTATATAAAGAAGATCAACTAAAAAGAAAAATAGGTTGATTAGAGAAAAGAAGAAGAATTGTTGTTGAAGTTGAAAATAAGAAGAAGAAAGAAGTTGTGGGAATAAAAGAGAGAAAAAGAGAAAGAGAGATAAAATATGCACAAGAAAGACCATCAAATATTAGTTCTACTCCATCTTAATGCTTATATCGTCTAATGATCTTCAACCTACAAAAGATGATGAAAGCAAACTCAAACAAGATAAAATATGAAGAGAAAGCTATCATCACATCTAGTCTTCTATTAAATCTTGAAGCCTTTAATGTTTGATGCTTCCAAAATGAAAGGAAAGAGAAAGAAGAAAAGAGAAAGAAGAAAAGAGAAAGAAGAAAAGAGAAAGAAAAGAAGAGAAGAAGAAAGAGAAAATCTCATGAGCTATATATTTGGTGTAAGTTCTGAAGAGAACTAAAATACTTGTAACTAGGAGTCAGTAATACTCAACTAGGAAGCGTATCAGGTAGATACCGGGATTGTCTAGGATGTCAAGAGTGACTATAATACTCAACCAGGAGTGACTTATACTCGAAACCAAGAGTGGTGTAAGAATACTCAGTTCAGACAATTGTCTAGGGATAGATCCTGGAGAAGCTAAACTCGAACTAGTTGTGTTGACTAGGGGATCATGAGTGTTATAAGAATACTTGCAACAAGGAGTGGGTTAAACTCGTGTAATATTTTATAAGATTAGTGGAACCTCTTAAGAGTTTATAAAAGAGAATTAGATGTAACTTAGATTGAGTGAACCCGTATAAAACTTGTTTTCCATTATTCTTCCTTAAAAGCTTTTACAAAGTCTTTTAAAATGTCATAGTCTAAATAAATTCTTATTTACTCATCTTATGAAACCAACATCTAAACAAAACACACATCTGCATACTCTTATCACAAATTATTAGACATTGCTCTGTGAAAATATTTTGAAAATACTATTTACCCCCTCTAGTGTTTTCCTGTGTTGTTTAGTACCTCCTACGAGGAATAAAGAGCACATTATTACTTTGCTGGAAGGACAAGACCCATTGAATGTGAGGCAATATATATATCCTCATCACCGTAAAAATGAGATAGAAAAACAAGTGAGGGAGATATTGCAGTC